TGATATATTGGGGAAGGTGCGTGGATCCTTGCGGATAGTCGGTGGGCGAACTCTACAAGTGACTTGGTAATGCATGTCAAGGTCGTGGTAAGCATGTACCCAATTGTGTTATACCTGACAGTGGATCCAAACTTCCAATTGTGTAAGTGACATCATCCGAGTAAACCCGAGTGAGGATTTTTATCCTGTTTAACTGTGACCGAGCGGGCACATTGGGTGTGAAAACGGTTGGGATGATTTTGTTAGGATTGGAATGTCACTTACACTGCTCTTCTATTAGGGAGATCTCCTAGGTGTATGTGTAACGACGCATTAGATGATAGATATGCATTTGATATCTTTCATGTGTTGCTTAATTGCATGAATGTTGATGTGATGAAGTGTATGGTGTTTGACTTCATGATTGGTGTGTTGCATGTTATGCATGAGTAGATTTTGATAGAGTGTATGGTGTGGCTCTATGAACATGATTGAATGAATGTGTAGTATAAATTATTATTTTATACTTGTATGATTGTTTATTGAATTCTAGCTTACCCTTCTATTTTTCATGTGGATGGACTGCGATAATCATACTTTGTATGGGAGCAGATTAGGGCTAGCTTGGAGTTGAGGTCCGCTGCCAGACGAGGAGTTTTGTCCTAGTGTTAGAGTTACCTGCTGGGGTAACTGTTGTTGTGCTTGACCGACACTAAGGAATATTATTTTGGATAACTGTACATATATATAGTGTTATAATTTGTTATTAGAAAACTTAGTTATTATTATATTTTATATACCCTGTATGTATGAGTTGTCACATTTAATATTCCTTTTAGTCTAGTTGTAGTAGTGCGATTCTATTAAGTGTAGGGACCATGGCGGGTCGTTACATATATAATGTTATGTTTATTATTGTTGTTAAGTTAAAAGTTGGCATGTATGCTGAAAAATGATTAAGTTGTAAAGATATAAACTTATATGATGTTAGGTTATTATATAGTTAAGACGTAAGTTGAATGATGTCTAAATTGCAATGATATATGATGATAAATTATTAAATTGTTCTATTGTTAAACATGTGGTTATGCTACATGTATACATTCATATATATAAAAATTAGAGGAAAGTTAAATATATTTTTGAACCTTTCAATAAATAAGTTGAATTTTGAATAAGTATGTTATATCAATTGTCTCCTCTAAGTTCATGCAATATTTGTATGTGAACAAGATTGAGACATACACATATAAAGTATCCATAGTATAAGAATAAAATCAAACTATATTGATTACAAATGACCAATCAAATAAAGTTGAAAGTTAGACTTTTAGTCTCTAACCATAAATTTAAAATTTATTTCAAATATATCACTTGTTTTAAATACGTAATTGTTATATTTAATATTAATTATAAGTAAATATATAAGAAATAAAATTAATAATTAACAAAAATTATAAAAAATTATTCTTCAATCATTTTAAAAATTAATAATTAAAAATTTAATTTATCACTTATAATCGAAATTAGAAGAGTAGTATTAACTGCATTAATAAATGTTTACGGGAAGAGCACCGCTACAAAAGCAAAAAGATATTCCGAATCATTGTCCAAATTATTAAAATATTATTAATTTTTAATAAATTTATTATAAAATAATTGATTAATTTAATATTTTATTATTTAAATTAATTTTTTAATAATTTAGAAGAATTTTCGGCTTCATGTTTCGAAGATGCATCATTTTCCTTACGGGAAACATAATGCATGGTAAACGGCGTGTTACGACAACCAAAAAATATGATTGAATTGAGTAGATGGTCAAGTGGTGGAGTCCACATTTCCGAGAACTTCGACTTCCCCTATTGTTGTAGTATATGGCGACATAATAAATAAGAATTTTACTACTTAAAAAAAATAAGATTTTTATTTACAAACCAATACTTTGCTATTAAAATTTTAGATAAAATTATATTAATAATATTTTTAATATCTTAATTTACTTTTTATTTTAAACATATTGATTGATATTTGATAAAAGTAAAAGTAAAAAAAAAAAGAGAGAATAATATTTAGTAATAATATTATATTTTTATTGTAATTTTCTATCAACGACTTTATTTATTAATGTTTTAATTAATATTTTAAGACAATTTTTAATAGGATTTTATATAAAGAGTATTTGTTAAAAAATATTTAAATATTAAAATAAAAAAAATACTAATGATAAAAATATAAAAATATTTAATATTTACTTTTTAAGTAGCAGAAAATATCTATTTTTGTTAAATTCTAAAATTTAAAAAAAATGCTATAATTGATTATAAAGTCTATTAAAAATTTAATATTATCAACTAAAATAAAATCAAATGAAGCTATTAAAAATATTATAATTAATAAATATTACGTTCATTTTGTAAATATATTTTTAAAAAAAATTTACCTACTTAAAATGCAAATATAATAAAATAAGAAAGTTTATTATTTGTTATAAATATATGTTCTTAATGAAAAACTGGAAAGATAAATAACAACATGAAAAAGATAAATAAAATAAAATAAAATAAAATTTTAAAAATTATAAAATTAATAATAAAAAAATGATTAAAATATACAAATTTTTTATATTTATGACAAACATACGTAATAAAATATGTATCTATGTTTTAATTCTTATAAATCAATACAGTTTATATTGTTACTTTTACTTTTAAAAGCTAATAAAAGAATTAAAAAAGTTAAAACATTAAGATGTGAAAAGATATATAATTGGAGTTTTTTAATTATATTATTAATATGAAATATTTATCCATTTTAATCAATTTTTATATAAAAAAAAATTAATTAACCATTTTTAATAAATTTTATATTATTATTTTTTTATTTACACAACTTGAATTTAAAATTTTATTTTGAAAAATTAAATTTCTTGTTAGGAACATGTATAACTTATTAATAGTTATAAATAAAATAATTAATTATAAAAAAATTAAAAGATTAGACAAAGTATTATAGGACAATTATAATAAAAAAAAATTATACCATACATTCTGCAAACAGTTAATGGCAAGAAAGCAAATGGCCAATGTGTAAAGATTGCGTATAAATTAAATGTAATTCCTCTTGCGTAGATGCCATGCGTGGACCAAACCTATATTCAAATCATAACGCATGCTTTAATGATATATCCGTGAACCAACTTGCACTTTTTTAATTCGTAAATGCATGTGTAAATTTTGGTTAGACCTTTTTTTTCTCTCTCCAGATTTCCTAATTTTATTAAATAAAAAAACTAATCTAGAACAGTGTGAATATTGTTGACTTTTTTATGTGACTTCAAAAATTAATCTCATTGGAATGTGGTACAGTAATTAATGCTGACTTTTTTTTTCAGATGACGAGAATGAAATATGAGATTTTTTTATCAAAAAATCTATGTAATTTTTAAGTTTATATGTTTAACTAATGCTCTAATAAACCCTAATTTTAAAACCACTTAAAAAATGTAGTTTTGCACAAACATATGCTTGGATTAAGTTGGAACCAAATTCACAAATTAATGTTTTTTTATAAATTAATTAAATATGTTAAACTTGCTGGATTTGAATTTGTGCAGATGCAATATTCCTTCACACCAACTTCATTCACAAAACTTTCCTGATTTCTTGCAAAGGGCTTTCACGGCATATCACAAAGTATTTTTATATCAATTTATTTTAATCATTGAGATTACATTCAATTTTTAATTTACTTATCAAATTTCACTATTTTTTATAAAAATATAAATATTCTTTCAATATAAAGAACTTTATAGTGGAACTTAACTTATTACTCAATTAAAATAAATTTATATTTTATTATATATTTGTTTGTTATTATTTTTTATTAATAATTTTCTTAATTATGTTTTCTTATATTTAACTACGTTCTAATAATTATATTAAATATTTAAGAAAAATATTATAACTTTAAATAATTTCTTTTTGAATATATAAAAATAATTTTTGAAACTATTAAATTTTAAAATATTGTTAATAAAATGTAAAGAATTTTTCTATGGATGAAAATGATTAAGATAGTAAGTCTATACATAAGCATCTTCTTTTATGAATTTTAATGATAATTTTTCATCTTCAATTTTAATTTCAAGTTGTCTCCAATTTTTCTATATTTTTCACAAAATATTTCCAACAATATGAAAGAAATTTAATGCTCGTATTGCACTCTCGGGAAATATAGGATAGATGATGATGTTAATATTTACGTAAAAAATTCTATAATATAAGATATTTTTTCATTATTATATATAAATATATGTGCAGGACGACAAAGTGGATACTACAGTATTTATACTCATCCCCATTTTTATTGAATTTTGTAAGTAAATTTATATCTAGTGCTCATCTACATTCATGTGGATTTTTACCCTTCCCTTTGCTGATATTTTTTGCAGCCATTCATAGAATTCAGGTATATTTTATCATTTCTATACAATATATTGCTTGATAGTTTAAGATTTAACTAGTTGGTATTTTAGGTTTGAGTTTGTTCTTTAAATAAAAGTTTCACCTTAATTTCTCATTATATTTTTACTACATAGCGATAGAAATTGAAATATTATACACAAAATTCAACGATAGAACCTCTCATCGTCATTATAATTTTTATTAATAAAAAGATATTTTTATTAACCAAATTCATTACCTCGATCGTAAATAAAACTAAATTAATAATAAAACTTAATAGTTGATTTGAGTATTTTATAATTTTGTATATTCTCGATATGTCACTTCACATGTCCCTCCCATACTAAACCACTATTAAGTTTTAAAACAGCTAATGTGTGTTTGAACTTTGAATTATAATTTATTGTTGTTAAAAAAAATTAATCAAATTTAAAAAAAAAATAATTAAAAACATTGTCACAATAAACTCATCAACATACAATGAACTCACTTTCTTTTAAACATGATTTTCAATTTAAATTCTTATAAATTAAAAAAAAATGTTGAAACTCGAAATTGATCTCTCTGTGAATAAGTCACTCAAGTTTACTCAAGTTAATCTTAACCCAACCCAGAAATAAATCAAGTTCCACAAATAATGACTATTTCTCTAATGCATATATTTATGAGGGGTAAGAAGAATGTTTCTTTGAAACTATTAAGACTATGATTAGGGTAAAAAAAGAAAACATTAAAATCTAGTCTATAATATATACAATACAAGGTATCATCTCATATCTTAACAAAGCGAACATCACTTTGTCCAAATGCTGTTCCACATGCAGGACATTTGCGGTGCCGTAGCTCTAAATTTCTCTGAATACATGGATTGCAAAACAGATGGTAACACTTCACAATCACAACCTGCCAAATACAAATCAATCTTTAGGTGTTGCTGTTACAATAAATTCTATTAGGATACTACATACATTATATGAAATGAGAAGTCCAAGAAAAGATGTCAAATCAGGATTGTATTTTCTCCATTTCAAAACAATCATGATTCATTATACAATATACAAGTCAATTTAAATACAATGTGAAAGCAACAAGTGTGTGTAAATGGATAAGTTGGCTTGTTACCTCCTTTGGACGGTCAGTGCAGACAGTACACTTGATCATGTTCTTGCAAATTCTTATTTCTTTTTCTAGTTTTTGTATTGTGGTCTCTCCCGTTTCAGAAGTCAGTTCAGCAATTTTGCTGTTCAATTCCATTAGTTCTTCCTCCAGCTTCTTCCGTAAACTCCTGCTTGACATATACAAAGATTCTTGAGTTTCAAGACTACTTTTGTGATCCATTGTTCATTCAACCACTAACCAACATTACTGATTCATCAATTTCATAAAACTTGAGATTGAGTCTCTAGGATCATTGTTAGAATTACAATTGTATCTTCAAGTAGTTTTAAAATCTATCCCCAATCCATATTTAAAGCATAAACAACTTCCTTAGAAAGATAAATACCTTTCACTTTTCAATTCCGTTTCAATAGCTTCCGTATCTTTCTGAATTTGATCATATTCTTTCTCTGAAGAGGAAACAGAAGACTTGAGCAACTTCAATTCCTTCTCAGCATCAGCCAATTCCCACTTTGCAAATTCCAGATTGACTGCAAGGTGTTTTTCTTCTTGATTACATTTAATGGCTTCAGATAAAATACCTTTCATCTGCAGGATTCAAATTAGCATTTACAACAGTAAGCTGCTGCTGCAGCAATTCGACATAATATCAAAATAAAGAAAATAAACAGGTCAGGGGAGAGAGAGAGGTCAGGCAGCAGGGGAAGTTGGACCTGCTCTTCACTGTGTGTAATCCTCATCTTTGAATTTTCCATTGAAGAATTAATTTGTTGAAGTTGTTTGGCTAAGGCCTGCTTCTGAGACAGTAAAGTACTATGCACCTGTTTCGTTTTCACGCTATCTGATACAAGCTGCATTAAGATTGCAATATTATAAAAAGGTGGTCTCGCTAATCAAAAAAATTATTTAAGAGCAATTGCACTTGTTTTTAGTAAAAATGGTGAAGATCATAGCAAGGCAGTGTTAACTAAAGATAAAAATAAGACATACCTTAATATTATAGTCATCCCTCTCGATCACCTGGTCTGACAGATTTTGGTTCTGTGTCTGCATATCTTCATATGCTTGACCAATAGTCTGCAAGAAAGCAATTGATTGATTATATTAGAAGAAATGAGAGTTAAAGTAAACCTGACACTTACTGTTCATCTAGCATGAAGGAGAAGAAAAAGTCAGATAGCAAACCTCAATTTCAGATATATATGCCTCTGCCTCAGCATCTTTAACTTTAACAGCCTCAGTCAGCCCCAAAATTTCCCTGAACATAGATAAAACATGGAGAATTGGAGATCGCATCTATCAACAGACTAACAGACAAGCTCGTTTGTACTATAGGGTTTATAATGTAATTTTGTATACTTACATCGAGACTTGAGAGTTGTTTCTCCCAAAATTAATTTAAAATATTTATTCTGCCATAAATACATGTTAATACTTAATTAAACCTTTAGTCCTAAACATGCTTCCGTCTTCCTTGTATTCCTACAACTTTATAATGTAACATTTATATTCTCATTTATAAGGCTAAAGTGTAACCACAAATCTGGCCATTCCCAAACAACATGATGTAGCATAAATTTTTGCAAATATCCCAGACCAGATAAACAAATGGTACCAATGAAATAAATAAAAAATATTGTTTCAATACAGCAATTGCATTCCTCAAATTTACTCCATGGTAAAAACTCAAATGAGACTCCTACAATTAGCCTAACACATCGTCCCAGGGTATGCAGCCATCTATGTAATGCAGCATGGTATATTGGCCAAGAGAGAAAGTCTTCAACTAAATAAACTTTAGCCCATCCACCTTCCACTCCTCATCACCAGAAACTTCTCTCCCAAATTAAACACACAAATATGGGTTTATAAAAGGGGGGAAAAAAAACAATAGACACTACACAAGTGTGTCAATGAAGCAAGACCATAATCAATGTAAAGTACACCTAACGCCAACCTCTCAGATGTGTCCAGCTTGGCCCTCAATTCCTCTATTTCAGCTTCTGCGGCAGAAAGCCGTTGTTCACAAGCAGCTTCAGCTTCATTAGCAGCTTTTACTCTCAACTCAAGGCTATGTTCATCTAAGGCATTTTTCAGTATTTCAGCTTGAGTGTGAGCTTTACTTTCAGATTCTCTAACTTCTGAATATCTGAAATATAAGTTCACGATAGCATATCAAGATCAAATCATCCAAATACAAAGAAGAGAACAAAATTTTGATTTGAATGCAAAATAAATTCTCTAGTTTGTTACCAAGCAAAACTAAAAGTTTAACTTAAGTTAAATTTAAAATCAAAACCTTAACAAGTTGGCTACCGTGGTTTGCGAATGGAAACATTTGAGACCAAAGGAAAACATTAAAAAATACATGTATTTCTAATTGATTACATTGTAGTTATACAAAGGATACATGAATATATGGATACATGGTGAAGCCAAAAATAAGGAAAGTATGGAGCTAAATTTAACTACATGAAACTCGTGCCACTACTTTATAAATTCAAATCAGCATACCTTTTCTCATAATTCTCCTGACCATACATATCCAGAACAAATTCTAATTCCTGATTCTCCTTCTGTAACTTCTCAGTCTGCACCAAAATATCATTATCAGTTATTTGAAAATTAGTTTAGATAATCAAGAAGACCTCTAAAATCACAATGCAAATGATGCTAGAAAATCTTGGAAAACAAAGGTGCATATAACCATATACACATGCATGATACAAGTTGAATGCAAAGGAAAACATTTGCAATCTTACCTGATTCAGTCACAGATATATTAGATTTAGATTTAGAAATAATAGATAAGTGATATCAACCAAACTTAATGCCAGACAAGAAAACTGAGATGTATTACTGCTATAAACAAGCATTGACGAAGAAAATACCAATAGATCAAGAAAGACACAAATGTAAAAAGCCAAGGGCAGACTCACCAATGTTTTTAAAGACTTGATTTCCAAAACCTGTTCAGCACATTTGTTCGCAAGGCTCTTAAGTTCGCTTGTCTGCTTCAAAACAAAGTAATTAACAAAACTTAATGCCAAAATAGTATATGTTGTTTGTATGCAAGGACAAAAACTTCTGCCTATATGCTCTTGCAGAATGTTCCGCCCAACATGATTTCTCATGTCACTAAATTCAAAGTAGTGTTAGTCAACAAAAATATTTTTGGTCTGATCAATAACCACATTTTATCATATATATATATATATATATATATATATATATATATGTGTGTGTGTGTGTGTGTGTGTGTGAGAGAGAGAGAGAGAGAGAGATAAAATGTTTTATCCAATAGTCATGATTTATTACAATAGCAGTGGACATATTTTCTTTTCTTTTTTTTTAACTTCAACCAAATTGAAATTTTCTCATCAAATATCTATAATTTAACATGCTTACAGAACTACATCAACATCATTTCAACAATGAAATTGACACTTGGAGTCCAACGCCTATAGGAATAATTAACAACTTTGCAGCACATTTTATTGAATTCAATAATGTCATTTTACATTGTCCAAGAAGTCAAAAGGACTTTTACTTGTCAGGCTGTCAGGGCATGCTTTATTCCAATTTCTTGACATTCTAAAACAAAAATTAAGATGGCTAAAGACTTATGCTAACATAGGATCTCAGTTCCTTGTAAAATTGACATGTAGATAACATTGCACACTCAAACTAACTAGAAAACTTTCTGTGGAAGATCTATCGCATAGTAGGTGGAAAAAAAATGAAAGGACAAATTATATTGAATCAGTTTGTAAGAACAACCTTCATGTTCAACGCTTCTCTTAATGAATGTGTTTTCTCACGTAATGATACAGCTTCATGAGCTGCATCTTTCCATCGCTTTAATTGAGCTTCCATCATTCCCATTTCCTTAGATAAAGCTGAAGCCATAACATGAAACTCAGATTTGATGTCTTTTCTCCCTGAAACATTTAATATTGAAGAAACTGAGAGATTCAATCACATGCACCACAAGTCTAAACACAGAACAAGTTATATGCTAACCAGTATCCTGTTTAGCTTCTTCCAACTTAATTTCAAGATCATTCTTTTCAATAATACACTTCTGCAATTGAAGCTCTAGCTCATCAATCCTATGGTCAGAATTTTCAAGGATATGTCTTGTACTATCAGCAGACTTCAATTTCAAATTTAATTCATTTTCCCATTTTGCAACATGAACACTGCCAGCCTAAAATAGCGATAGAAAAAGAAAAAGAATGTAAAGGGAGAAATGACAAATATTAAATTACAGTGAAATTGTTATAGAATAAAAGGAAAATCACTAGTCACCTGCAGAGACTCTACCAATGTTTTATATCGGTCCAATTCAGTCATCCAATGTTGAAGTTGATCATTAGCCAAAGAATATATTCGGGAAGAGCGTACATATTTATCATCTTTCAGTTCATTCTGGAAATAAATAATGAAATTAAACTTACATGGAACTCTATAGTGAATGCATAAAATTATGACCAAACCATCATAGATAATACAAACATACAAACCTGAAGATCTTGGAATTGCTTTGTCAAGGTATGATTATCTTCCCGAGCATCTTGAAGCTCAGAAAGACGATCAGCATCCACTATCTATGACATTAAGCAATTGTATATCTGCATTAGATAGAGAACAAGAACAAAGGAATTACAGATAGAGGAAAAGAAAATCACATGACAAAAACCTTTGCTTCCTCAATTGAATCCTTCAACTCACGCAAGCCCATGGTCCTCTCTGCAGTGTTTTCAGGAGATAAGTTCCCATTTACTGAATCTGTGATGGGTGGATTCATCCCAATTGCTGCATCTTTTTGCATTTCCAGATTGACTAGTTTTCTTCTACTCTCTTCTAGTTCAGCCACAATCTCATCAAGCTCGCCTTTACATAAGACAAGAAGACACTCACGAGTGACTATTATGAACAGTCATCGGCCAAAAGAAACAAATCGCATAGTTCTCCATCTATAAGAGCCAATATGATTTCCAAAATTATACCAAAAATCTCTGCACAAATCTAAAGACATTATTTCTGGCCATATCTATTCCTAATTAATTCTGACCTTACCAGTTATAATTACTGTACTTTACTCGATAATTTAAATAAATTATTGAATTTTTCAGTTGCATAATTATTATCCTCTCCTGAACTCAGCACAAGACAAAAGAACACTCATCTTCTACTGGATCTGTTATTACTTCTAAAATATATTGGGATTGCCTTGGCACATCAATAAGGCTGCTGCCTTGTGAACTAAAAGTCACGGTGTCCAAATCCTGGAAACAGCCTACTCGTATGGTTAAGGCAACTTACATCTACCTCCCCAAGCCCCACTTGGCAGGAGCTCATGAACTTAATCACCTTTTTAACTATTTGTCATTACATTTTTATTGATCCACCTTGAATGTGCACATAAATTGGCATATCAAACAATCAAAACTAAAATCAAATCATATCCACTCAAATCAACCAAACTTGTGTGGATTTCTATTTATAAAAACGATATCAAAATCAAACCAATTCCCATTTATAATTTTCCAAACAAAAAAATTGAATTTTATAATTTCCCAAACAAAAAAAAATTAATTATAAACAATATTAAATTCTCAAACAAAAAAAAAGCACTAACAAATTTTCTTCGATTTTCAATGTTTTAAAACCAGCTCATTCCAAACTGCATCGCTTATCATCAACTTTTAAGTTTTAATGACCATCTCCAAGGCAGAGTGCTGATCTAATCAATGTACTGCAGATTTACTTCTGCTTCTACTTATGATCATATCGACTAAATAATAGATTTCCTAATTTAACTTTAGCTTAAATTTTTAATCAAATGGAATAGTACAATTCATCTACAAACAAGTGGCACATGAACATTATTTTCAAATAACAAGCTAACCAATCATCAAAGCACTGAGAACAATAATGTGCAAAAAGATATTCAATGTGCAATTTTAGCTGTAAGAGATGATCCAACTATCTTTTTTAGAGTAAGCTCCCATTTTGATCCTAATTTTTTTCAAACATTCAATTTGTTTCTAGAAAGATTATTACATTAATTCAGTTATTGAATGATACTATTTCAAAGATAAAATTAAAGATTTATTCATAAATCATATAATATTTATAATTTTCACTGAAAATGCTCATTAAACACAAGGAAAATTTTCTTTTATTATACTATGGCACGAACCATTTAAACCACAGTATATGATAATCAAAAATTTTAAAATTCATGCTCTTTTTATTATAAACTTCATAATAAAGTAATTAAAACAAAAGAAAAATAAATATTTCAGAGACCTGCAAGGCGTTTAATGTCAGATTGATCTTGTAAGCACTCATTGATAGAATTTTGAATGCCAACAGTATACTCTTTATGTTTCGCATGGAGAGTATCAATCACTTCGCATAAATTATTTGCTTCCTCTTGCGTCATGTCATCAATCTTATTCATTTGGATTACAGCATCTGCAAATCAACAACGATTAACAACAGATCATTTATATAAATTTCTTGAAACTATCCTACAATATTGACCGATAGAAAAATTAAAAATCAATCATTAACAAAAACTAAATAATTCAACTGGATAACATTATTATAATTTTTTACCTTCTGAAGATAAATCTCCATGTAAAATCTGAGCTATACTGCCTATTCTTTGTATCCTATCATCAATGGAATCTTGCAGGTGTTTCAACAACTCCCTTGTAGATGACTGACGCAAAGCAAGTGCCTCCTCAACATAATTAATAATTTCATCATCAGTAGTTCCTTTAATAGAATCTTTCTGGATTAATCTACATAGAAATATATCCTCAGCAGGACACGAAGGAAGTGAACCTAGAGAGGACGTCAAATTAGTCTCTTAATTACCTATATATTATAAGAAAATAAAAAACTATTGAGTGTGTGAAATGAAAAGTACCTTTGGAATTATCAATGGAAGTTAATCGTTGCAATGTTTCTTTGCCTCTCCCAGCTCTTATTCCAAGAAGAATCATATCGTCAACCAACTAGAAACAAATACGAAAATTAACGAGAGTAATGAGCATACCCTACAAGAATATGCAAAAAGTGCATTCCCTTCCACCCTAAACACCCCACACCACAGTGCCACCAGAGCATGCAGTACATATGGCATTGTCTGAGTTATTTTCAAAAGAGGAAAATACTAAAACCAACAGAGTACAGGGGCAACAGAAACCAGAGCACGATGAGTAATGGCACAAAGAATAACCTGAATCCAGAGTTGGTTCAATGCAATTAACAAGTCATCATAAGAACTTTGATTTCCTTTCAATTCTCTAATTTTTTCTTCAAGATCATGCAAGGCATGTTTTTGGATGTCTATCTGATGAACAAGCTGTTGATTCTGGAACTGTAAGACTCCTGCATCAGCCTGGAGGAAGCATATCATCCCCCGTTACACAAGTAAAACTAATAAACAATTGACATTGAAAAAAAAATGGTTTTTTCATCTCAAAATTTAGTCAAGCACCTCAAAACTAATAAAAACTGTTGTCCATATATATTTCTCATTTCCAAAATATATATCTTTCTTTTTAAATAAAAGACTCTTTGTACCAAAAAATAAATAAATAAATAAAATGAAAGACTCTGAAATGACATGAAAATATCCAATCAAACACAATATAATGTAAAGGATCACAAGACATCAAAATCCATCCTTGTTACTCTTCAGTTCACAGCCCTAGTCAGCAGTAAGTTGGCACTGAGCACAATCAAACTGTCATCCCCTCGTCATAAAGATCAAAACTTTACCCAAAATTGCACTCCCCCAGAACTAAAGTGGCAATTCATTTTGTTCCCACAAGACCAAACAGGTCAGAGGATCCAATCACACACCCAATTCACTAGAATTCAGAACAAAATCATCAACAACAGAACAGAAGAAAGCAGCATAAAAATTATACAAACAGAGACATAGAGAGAGAAAGAAAGAAAAGGGTTACGATTTTGTTGGTGGTGGGAGAGTTGGTGGAGTTTCGAGACATGCGGGAAGAAACAGATGAAGTGAGATGAGGCCTCTTCTTGTCGGGTTCGTCATGGTCTGAGTTTTCCATTGCGATTCTGAAATTTGAAACTAAACCCACCACAGCATTAGTGATAAAGATCAAAACTTCTCAATTCTTTGTTTTGGGTTCTCATGGAATAAACAGGGAATGGAGTTCTCGTAAAGCACAACACAAAACTCCGTTGGACACAGCACTTCTACTCTACCAAGTCTAGGGGTGATGATTATGAACAGTGTAGCCACTTTTGCTCTTTTATTTATATGGAAATTCTAATATTTTAGCAGCATTTATAACACAAATATTTATTTTTATGTATTATAATAAATAAACATTTTTAATTATAAATTCTTATAATTAAATTTATAATAGATTAAAAATTAAATTATATTTTAAATTTATAATAAAAGTAAATATTTTTATCATATAATAAACTTTTACAATTGATTTGGTTGTGAATAATTATTTATGAAAATTTTATTAATTTTCACTGTAATTTTTATTGATTAGTAACGTAAAACTCTAGGATGAATAGAAATTAATCTTTTTAGTAAATAATTTAAATTTTATGTAACAAGAAAATAAATTAGTATAATATAAGGTTATTTTTAAATTTAAATAGATAAATAATTAAAAATAATAAGTGTACAGATAAATAATTTTTTTAAAAAAAGTAGTTTTAAGAAATGTTGTTTTGACTAGTTGCAAAGAAGGTAAGGAATAGATTATTGAGAATCTAATTGAATAATTTGAACTTCATTCTCTAAATTAGAATTACTGTATTACATTACTCTCTTTGTCTTAAAAAAAAATAGCCTTCCTTATGGATAGATTCAATTACATAATACTTTTATCTTTTGTTAAATTTTTTTTTTTTTGTTAACTTTTACTAAAAAAAATATTTTCAAAATATTTTTTAGACTAATATTTTCTTTAAAATGTAAATATTACATCATCCTTCATCTTTGTTAAAATATACACATTTTTCTTTTAATATATACAAATATATTACATTTTAATAATTTATTTCTTAAATTATATATTTGATTGTTATAAATTATGCTAAAATTAATTATATATTTAAAAGAAATAATTTTAAATATCTAATATGTTTTTATATTAAAAAAACAAACAAGTTTGATTTTGTTCTTATAACAAAATTTATCCTCTAAAATTTGGGAATGTTTTTTTTTTTTATCTTTGTAAAATGAATACAATTTTAATTATGATCCTTATAAAAAATTTTAAAAATTTTATCTAATTTTAAAAAATCACTCACCTCTTTTAAGATAGTATCATTAGTTAAAGTGATAATAATAATAATAATAAGTATTATTATTATATTTTTTACATTTATATATGTATTTATCGTTTATTTTTAAATTATATATAATATTATGTCTTATTTATAAAAAAAATTATTATTTTTTAATTTTGAAAATAATAATTTATTAACACATTTTTTAAAATTATTTCTTTAAAATTAATATATTTTTTAAATCACAACACACATAATATTTAAAATATAATTTAAGAGTTAAAATTTAGTTAATTATCAAAATTTATTTAATTGTTATCATTTGTATTAATAATTTATTATATTTTAATAGTGCAAAAATGATGTTATGTTATATAAAAAAAATTGTGTTATTTAGATAAATAAATAATAAGTGATAGAATTTACTTATAAATTAGAAGAAAAATGTGTCACTTAAAAATACCTCATGAAATATTAGGGAAATTTTTCTAAAAATTAATCTTCTAAAAAGGATTAGTCCAGTAGTAAAAAATTAAAGTATCAAGTATAACAAGTAGCCACAGATATATTTATATTAAAAATCTGTTGTTATTGTAAAATTTAATTCTTTTATATATATAGTAATCTAAGTTGCAACAAATCAACAAGAATGATGTTAAAACGTTTATTTAAGAAAATACCAAGAGAAAAAAAAAATCTATAAAAAAATTGCCTTTAAAATTCAAAATTGAACTTGGGGGTTGATTAAACATATGAAAGGTGGTAGTATTCTACGAAGTTTATCTTAAAATAATTACCTCTAGTTAATTAAATAATTTATTTATATTTTTAAAAAATATTTATCTCATCTTCAAATTATTAAAAATTGATTATAATATATACATATATATATATATATATATATGTATTAACTTATTAGCATATGCACGTTTATTTTATTTTGACAGAGAGTAAATTTTATTATTATTATTATTATAAAAAAAAAAAAAGAGTTAATATTGTTTGTTTATTTTTTATGGAGCAAGGGTGGAAAATCAGAATTACGTAAATTTTTTTAGAAAATATTTATGCGTTACACTTTTATTTGAATTTTTATCTTTGATAAAATTTAAATTTTTAACTATTACAATTCATACATCTTATAATATTTAATTTTTTTATTGTTTTTACTTTTTAGAGAAGAGGTGTAAGATATCTTTCCGTTGTAACTTATGCTTCCATATTTCATGATTGAAAAAATATCACATTAATTAATTATTTTTATAAAAATTTATTATGAATTTAAATTATAATTTTATTTTATTTATCATCAAATAATATATTGTAATTTTGGTTTTTGTTATCAATAACTTTTTAATATAATAGAATATTATTGTAAAATTATTCATTATTATTAATATTATTAATGATGGGAATTAATCAAGTGAGAAATTTGAGTACCTAAATTATATCACATGCTTCTCTTGAGAATGTTTTCATAGGGATAATGCATGCTTTTCCAATGAAATTCTCACAAAATGAAAAAATAAATAAAAATATATGATTAATATGTTTCATTAAATTATTAAAAAAATATTATTATAAGTCAAATAATTTTCACTAGATTCATATTTTAGATACCCACTTAGTGGGATTTATGTGTTTTAAAGGCTTGGGTGGGATGTCCCACCCTGTATAAGGAAAGGAGGAGATGTATGATTTTATTATGAATAATGTGAGACTTTTTAGTTAAAAAGAAAATATTGTAGAATTTAACATTTTTCTCTATCAAATCACTTTTTCTTTTTATTGTAACGACCCACCCTAGGTCGTCACATTAATAACCAGCTAAAATAAAATAATATAAAATAAAGAAAATAGAGCAAAAGCCAGCTACGATAGAGTGAAAAAAAAATTATTTCATAATATCAAACATAATTATATCAGAGTCATTCTTGGTAAAATTATACAGTAATCTAATAGTAACATCATGAAATATAAGTTAGACACCCTAGGTGCTGGTCAAGCTCTACGTCTAGCCACTTCTCAAAGCAGCTACCCCAAAAGACTCCTTGCTATCCCAAGGCCTCACACCTGATCTGCTCCCCCACATAGTGAGATCATCACAGTCCAAACCACATGGAAACACAAGGGTTAGCACATATAAAACCAACCATAGTATATCATAATAAAATATCATTAAACAAATATTTATCCACAGTATTTATCCAGACCAACAAGTCATTTTCCATTCTAAATATAGACCAACCCAAAATATAATGTATACACGTCCATGCCAATATATACATATTTTATGATAATAAAATAATCCATAACCAATGTATACAATCCATACCATATGTATACAGATTCCATATCCAAAACAAAGTCACACCACTGTATAATCCATGATGTAACCAACACATCCAAACCAAATGTTGGCCTCAACACCATCCAAACCAAGTGTTGATACGGTGAAACATGTCAGCAACCCATGTCCCACACCTAACCTCTCATGGAAAATATACAGTTGGATTACGTCGTCACGTAACCCTGGTGATCATGGCCACTTCATCCATCGGTATGACTCGGCCTTGCCCCCATACCGGTAGCAAATAGAATACTTAGAGGAGTACTTCAGAATCCACCTAACATCTGAAGTGGTTTAT